GCCGGCGGGTGAGGTCGCTGCGCGGAGAGACCTGACGGCAGCGCGGGGGCGGGGCTTCCTTCCTGGCGGCTGGGGCCCCGCCCCTGGCTTGCCCCTGGACCTGGCCTGGCCTGGCAGCAGCGCAGTGGCCTTGGGCGGCGGTGACGCCAGGCTCGTGCCTGTGCCCCGCCGCGGCCCTGGTGCCCAGGACAAGGCTGGTGTCCTGCCGCCCGGCCTCGGCCTGGACAGGCTGGCGTGAGGAGAAGCGGGTGAGCGGTGCGGGTGGAGAGAAGGGACCTCGGTGCCTGGCCCCCGGACAAGTGTCAGTCAGCCGCCTGCGCTCTGGGTTCCGCGTCCTGCGCAGCGCCTGTCTCAGCCGTGCCGCCTGCCCCTGCCTCCTTGCCGCACGTCTCGCACCTCTCCCCCTGCACACCTGCCTCCCCGTCTCCCGTGCCAGGCTCCCTGGCCCCCTCCGGTGCCTGGGAGGACGCCTGGGCCTGCCCTTGCCGAGGCCTGCCCCCTCCTGTCCATCCTGCTGCCCCTCTGGGCCCAGCAACCAGTGGCCTGGGGCACAACCCCTGGTCCCCACCTCTGCCCGTGGCCCAGCCATGCAGCCCTGGGGCTCTGGTTGCCTGGTGCCCTCCCCGCGGGCCCCTGCCTGGCCGCCGCCTGGCCACCCACCCCAGGTTGTATCCCCGCCCCTGAGTGCCGGCTGCTGCTGCTGCACCCTCCTGGGTGTCACCAGGCACACTTCCTGGGGGTCTGGCCATGCGTGCGCCCCGCTCGCTGACCTGTCGTGGCCCCGCCAGAGCAGCAGGGCTCAGGGTCTGCGTGGAAGCCTCGCCCGAGCTGCTGTGTCCTCCTCGGGCAGCGGCTGCTGTCTCTGGCTTCCGGCACTCAGAGGCGGCTCGGCCTGGCTCTCCCTGGTGGCGTTTGCGTGTCTCCACATCTCGGGGGTGGCCTTCCTGCCTCCTGGTGTGTCCTGAAGGATCGGGAGCTCAGGAGGGGTGGGTGGTGGCCTCCCAGGGTTGCGCTCTCCAGGGCTGGCAGGGCCAGGCGCCCTCAGGCCTCTGTCCTGATCGGCAGGTTGGGGCTGTCTCCAGGTCAGGGGTCACCACATGCTCTCAGCAGTTTCTGGAAAGTGGCGCAGCCGAGCGGCAGGGGTGCCCAGCCCCTCCCCCCCGTCTGTCTTGCAGATAAACATCGAGGACCTGGAGGAGGGGCCTGCGGTCAACGGGGAGCAGCTGGATGCTCAGTGCCCAGATGCCGCGGTGTCAGGAAGCAAGAGGAGGGCCCAGAGTGGAGGCTCCGAACCCAGGAGGGACGGGGGCGTGGCCAGCAAGGCGGCCCCCCCAGAGCAGGTGCCTGTCCCCCGCTGGTGCTCCGAGCCCCATCCAGCTTGCTGTCTAGTCACCCCAAGTTTCCCAGGAGCCCTGGGGGTGGCTCTCCTGTGGGCAGGTGTGGCCAGGCTGTGCGGCCTCAGGGGTGCGGGCAGGTCCAGGATGGGAGGGGCCGCCAGAGATCTGCTGTCCACTCCCTCGCACAGGCTGGCTGCACATTGCTGGTGCCTGCTGGCCAGACCACCAGGCCCTCCGGCTAAGGGGCGCCAAGTGCCATCTGGAGGCCTGGCCAGTGGGGTGTGGGGGGTTCCCTGTGGTGGGGCAGGACCCAGTGGGGCAGCAGTCCTGGCAGAGGGGAGACTGAGGGTGGGTGGCTGTGGCCCTGCCCCGGTGCCCTGTGAGCTCTGCCCGCTGGGGCCTGTCCCAGGCCTCTTGGCACTGGGGGCCTTGCTGCCTCTGCTCTGCTGACCGAGACACGTCTCCTGCCAGCCCGGCGCAGGCGGCCAGCTTCGGAGGAAGAAAAAGAAACAGAGGAACAGGAAGAGCCCGGCAGAGGCAGGCTCGGTATGGGTGGCGGGCTCGCCTGCGTGGGGGTCCCGGCCCCTCCCAGAGCGGGTCAGACTCAAGGCCGGAGCCAAGGGCTCGGCCCGTGCTGGCTGCTGCACCCCCGGCCCGAGGGCACCCCAGGAGGGGGGCCGCGGGCCACCTGGCACCAGCAGAGCCCCCGTGCCCCCGCCGGCCTGAGGGGTGCTCGTGTCCTGGGTCAGGGCTGCGCTTCGCTGCTCACAGGCCTGCCGGCCAAGGCAGCGG